TCATTTCTAATAATTGGACTTGTTTTTGTTTCAGTGTTGCAATTTTCTGTGTGATCTATCCCTTAAATTCTTTGAATTCCTGTATGTGTGCTTCTCATTGTTGATAAGAAGTTCATAACAAGTGTTTTCAATTCTGTATCCCCCATTTTCTCAATGCCTTCCTCAATAAACTCTGAGATTGGCAAAGGGTTTTGCTCTTTTGCAGGGAAATCTTCAGCAATATTCATTGTGCCTCTGTCTCTTCTTTCACTCTTGGTCATTGTACTTCTGGATAGCAGATTCTTCTCTTTAGGTCTGGTTTCTAAGCTGTGTCACAGGTCTAAAGGTCAATTTTACTGAACATGGTTAGTACCAGGTTCTTCATTTGCAGTCACTTGTGCCACGGGAGTTCCAGGTCTGGATTTTTGTGTTAGGCTTCTACCACAGTCTCCAAAGCCCCAGCTCCTGGCTCACCACTCTCCATCTCCTGTTATCCTGTGCTGAGGCTGACCTATTGTGTAAAAGCTTTCTCCTGTTTCTGGTTTGAGCAGGTCCCAGGATTAGGGTTCATAATAACTAGGGTTCATGAATAACTAGGTTGTTGGTGGTGCTGATCTTGCCAGAACCTGCTGGCCATGAGGTCTGAGCATCTCCCAGATCCATCTCCCAGATGCTGAAGTCATTATTATTTTCCCTATGAGACCAATGCAATGCATTGGAGTTCACTTCCAGCTCAGTGCATGCACAGTTCACTGTTGTCCCTGCAGTGCTAAAGCCTTTGCCACACTGTACAAAATGTCACCTGATGTGCCACTCACAGAATTCTGGTTCTGCTAGCCATGAGGTCTGGGGCCTATGTGGACCTATTTTGGGTTGAACCTATAGGATGCCGCATCAGTGCAATGCAGTGAGGTAGAAATGAATTCCTTCCCAACTCAAGGAATGAGCAGTCCCTTCCCACAGTTTTTGCCTCCCTACACAAAATGGTGCCCAATGAGGCTTTCTGTCTGGTAAGGGTCTGACCTATGAAATTCACCCTATTCTTACACCACCTATTTGGGTTATACTGCTCTGTGTCTGCTCCTAGTTGAATAAAATAAATCAGCAGAGCAGGCAGTTCTTTGCCTGGATTCACCTCCTGAGCTCCCATATAATTTCCCTTCACGCCTGGCTACTGTTGGAGCTCTGGACACAGGTGGAACTCAGTTCACTGCTTGCTGACTGCCACTGGGCTATCTGGTCACTGCAACACCACTCCATTGCCCCTGGTGCTTTCTCATTCCGTCAGTCTCCAGGTCCCCCTCTACCAACGGCCTGTCCTCTCCTACCTCCTGCAATGTGGCATTTTTGCTTCGCCCTGGCTAATGATTCTCCATCTCTTTAAATGTGTCCTTACTGTATTCCTCCATCTCGATTCATTCCTACAGAAATTTTAGATTCATTTTGTCAAGATCTGGGATATGAGTATGATTGCATTGAAATCATACATAAGGGCCCGGTGCAATACAGTAGTGGTTAAGGTCCTTGCTTTGCACACGCCAAGATCCCATATGGGTGCCAGTTTTAATCCCAGCAGCCCCGCTTCCCACCCAGCTCCCTGCCTGTGGCCTGGGAAGGTAGTCGAGGACAGCCCAAAGCTTTGGGACCCTGCACCCATGTGGGAGACCCGAAGGAGCTCCTGGCTCCTGGCTTCAGATTGGCTCAGCTCCAGCCATTGCGGCCGCTTGGGGAGTGAACCATCGGACGAGGATCTTCCTCTCTGTCTCTCCTCCTCTCTGCGTATCTGCCTTTCCAATAAAAATAAATCTTAAAAAAAAAGAAAAAGAACTCATAGATAAGCTTGTGTTGAATTCACATCTTAGTCTTTTTCAATATTCTAAACATTCACAATTACTCCCATTTATTTAAAACTAAACTTCTCTGAACTCAGTTTTCTGGCTCACATATCTTTTGTCAGATTAAACCTTAATTCTTTCTCATTTTTACACCAAGTCTTTGGTCAGACTTATCCCTGATATTACATATTTTTTGGTCCTTTCTCTATTCCAGCTTAAGCAGCCTTTGTTGTCTTTAGTTTCATTGCTCTTTGTTCTATAAAACTTATTCTGTTACGAAGGCCATCTAGTCACTGTTGTGTAGCTATTTTATCTTTGAATTACAGAATTTTCATTTCTTTCTTTCCTGGACTTTCATTTCTCTGCAGAAGTATCCTGTGTCTTCAACTGTTCAACATTTTCTCCTACATCCTCTTAAAGTACTTGGAACAGTTCCTTGAAGTCTTTGTCTATCGTGTACAGTAACCAAGCTACCTGTGAACTATTTTGGTTGATTTCATCTTCTCCTGGTTATGATTCAACTTTTCTCGCTTCTTAACAGTTTACATAATTTATGTTGAATTGTAATAATTGAGTATGAAAACATCGTGCATTTTCAAGTTTAATATTTTTTGCTGTGCCTTATTTCCCTGGAGAGTAAGTATTTTCCTCCAGCAGTTTGGAGTGAAAAGGAACCATCAAAATTCTCTATACACATTTTTGTTTTTTACTGCAAAGGCAGATTTATAGAGAGACAAAAAGATCTTTCACCCACTGGTTCACTCCCCAAATGGCCACAATAGCTGGAGCTGAGTCAATCCAAAGCCAAGAGCTTCTTTTGGGTCTCCCATGTGGGTGCAGGATCCCAAACTTTGGGTCAGCCCCCACTGCTTTCCCAGGCCACAAGCAGGGAGCCACACGGGAATTAGAGCAACCAGGACAGGAAGCAACACCTATATAGAATCCCAGCACTCTGAGGTAGAGGATTGGCCAGTTGAACTATCATGCTGGGCCCTCCTCGATACAGAATGAAACACAGGGGTAATAGGCAGTCTGTACCTGTGGTGCACCATGGCATCTATCTAGGAGTGGGCAGGCCAGGACCTCATGAGCTCTAGGCTGCCACTTTCATGTGCATCACTAAGAAACACAAACTTGTCATCTCCTGTTCGTCTCAAACATGGCAGTGTCTGATCTCAGGGACCAGAGACTGTGTGTGTGTCCTGGCATCAGAGAACACAGTGCCTCCTATTCTAACGACTGAGTAAGGCAAAGGATCATGGCCAGGTATACACAGGGATGAGTTGGCCTGATCCTGTGAACCGCCAAGTATATTGGATGCCACTTTAAAAAGGAAAAAAGAGATCAACAACTTCTGCGTGACAGGTTGGGGTGGAGCACAGTCATTGGTCCTAGCAGGTTTTTCTCCAATTTGCAGGATAGATACATTAGATGAAAGAGGGAGAGATTTCCCAACTTGGGAAATGCAAGGCCAATGCTCTTAATCAGCAGAAAATAGCTACAGAAGATGAGGTGAAAGTTATATCCTCCACTTGATCTTAGCCAAAAGGCCGAGAAGCAATGAAAGTTGCATCCTTAATCAACCGTTAAGCATAATGGTCAGAAATCTCTGAGGTGAGAATGAAATAAGAAGCTAGCTTGGAGTCAGACACCTGTTAAAAGCCATACTGCTCCCACCTTGAGTAGCAATCTGCCTCCCTAATGATCAAATGACTCCTTCCCTAGGATGGACTTCCCCTTACCTGGGACTTGGGGTGTTGTCATGTAACTATGTTTGTTAAAAATGTGAGATAATATGGTTTAATTTTATGAAATATCATTAATTTGGGAAATTCTGTTTTTATTTTGAATCCTCCTTTCATCTCAAACAGTTACCTATTTCTCTATCAGCATAAAAGCATTCAACTCTCCAAACTGAACAACGATAGATGGGAATTGATAAACGGAATTGCTTAGAGACTTATTCTGAGACTCAGCAAACAGCAACAGTTTGTCAGCATCTCCTCTCAGTGAGAAAAGTTGTACACAACTTTATTTACCCCAGACCTCAGGTACAGAATCCCAAAAAACAGTATATATTATATGTTATATATTATATATTACATTTTGTATATTATATATGATTATATTGATTAATTATATGTTGCTACCTATAATTGGCTTACAATATTTTAGGTATTATGCATTATACTTACAGTGGAAATTATATCTAAACATAATTGTTATTCATTTAATTATGGTAAATTGTTTATATGGTAATGGTTAAGCAGTATAATTTTATTATAGTTACTTACAATGGAATTAACCTATAATTTATGTAATGGAAGTATATAATTCCATTAATTATTACCATTTAATAAGCTCTTACAATGAGTTGAGATCTTTTTTTAAAAAGGTTTAATTGTTTGAAAGGCGAATTACAGAGAGGAGAGAGAGAGAGACGAGAGAGATCTTCTGCTGATTTACCCCCAAAATTGTCACAAGGATCAGAACTAAGCCAAACTGAAATCAGAAGCTTCTTCTGGGTCTCCCAGGTGGGTGCAGGGAGCCAGGGATTTGGGCCATCCTTGCTTTCCCAGCACAAAAGCCCAGGCCAAATGCAAAGAGCTAGATTGGAAGTGGAGCAGTTGGGACTCAAACCAGCCCCCCCTATTGCATGCTAGTGCCACAAGCAGAGGCTTAGCCATGGCACAAGCCCTATTCTGTCCTATCAACTACCAGCTTTTTCCCAACAATGCTGTCTCACTCTCTAGATCCTGTTTAGCTAAGTTTCTGTTTCTTCAGGAAGGTTTCTCCATCTTCCTGTAGCTTGGGTTAGATGCCCCGGTGGCCCCAAAATTCCTTGAGAGCTTTGATACCATGGCAGAAGTTATCTCTCTAAATTGGACTTGCCTCTTTAATTGTTGATTCCTGCAAAAACAGCACAAACTACAAAGAGAGAGAGAGAGAGAGAGCAAACAATCATTCAATTATTTTGGTGCTCTTTATATTACTAGTGCCCATAGCACAGTATCTGCCACATAGTAGGTACTCAACAAATATTTGGGTTTTGTTGAATAAAGATTAATTAAAGGCACTTCTTCGGTCATCTAATTGGAAAAAAATGTATAGTAATTTTTAAAAAGGCACAGTCTTATATCAGTTAGGGCACACTTCCTTTCTTAAGTGGCGCTATAAAAAGGAGTGCAAAAACAAGCGAAACTGACTGCTAAGGCAGAGCCGCCGTTGTCTGCTCTCGGCCGCTTAGACCTCAGACAGGATGGCTCAGCAGCACCTGTGGATCTTGCTTCTTTGCCTGCCAACCTGTGAGTGCCCATCCTTGCTAACCCCTCCTGGCCTCCATCCTCTGAAAAAATAGCGATTTGCGAAAACAGTGAAGTGTCATTTTAATCTGTTTTAGCAGACTGTTCTAGATCTCGGTACATACTATATTCAAAAGAGATCCAAATGAGTGGGGGGGGCGGGGGAGGCTTTAGAGCTAAGCCTAAGTGCTTTTTCGGTGTTAGAGTTTGTATTTTTTGATTCTTATCTGTACTAAACTGCAAAGCTCTAAGACAAATCTATCTTCTCATAAGAGTTAGCACTTGCTAGACCCACCTGTCAAGCTTGGGGACAACATTATTCAACACCGAATAACTTGCAAGCAATTTGGTTTTGTCACTAGACTACATTATATGATTTTTTCAGAAATATTTTCCTCTTAACTATGTTTCATTGCTCCATCAAGCCGTGGTGATAATTGGCAGGATCATTATAAAAATGTCATCTCTAAGCTCTCTTTATTTTCAAAGCAGATTCACAGCTAACAGATTACTTTTATCTTCCAAAAACTATCTAAAACTAATTGAAAGGTGATTGCTATCCCACTTGTAAAAGCAATTTAACTATTTAATAATATTTGTAGAAATAAATTAGCTATCTAAAAAGGAGGTAGAAGATTTTACATTAAAATCAATGTAAACTAACTATAATTTAAGCCTTTATTTTACTTATTTATTATAAAGGACAAAATGAATATTGGTTGTTTTTAATGCAAAGAAAATGATATAACAGGAACACAGATCTAAGGGTGATTTTATCCTGCCAAATATTATCTCATTAAAATTCAAATATTATGAAATCTCAAAACCTCTGAATCCAATTCCAGTATCTCTTACAAACTCTGAAAATAAACTATCAAACTTGAGTTAGAAGCCAGTAAATGTAGTAGGTTAGGATTTTCTGAAAAGGTAGAAACCATACCTGCAATTGCTGTCCTTGCACTGATCATTTAAAATCGTGGCTTCTTTCATCTTGAGCCTCATGGCTCTCGTAACCATGAGGTAGGACAGGGTTCTGGAGCAGTATGCTGGTCACCCACACACGGTAGATTCAAAGTGCAAGATGAAGTGAAAGAGCTGGAACTAGCAATGGTATTCTATGGTTTTGTGCTCATATTCTTATTACCTATACTAAAACTGCTGCAATAGAAAGCTAAATGTTAAAAAAAATAATGATAAACTAAAATTCAGAAACTTAACTCTTTTTTCCCCTGGATTTTCACTTCCTGGAATTGATAGAGCTAGAACAGGAATTTCATTCTTTCAGTCTCAAGCCTGTAGGTCCTTCTGCTACACCTGAATTCTTCATCCACTAAGGTTTAAATTCCTTGATGCTCTGCAAGAGGTAACACTGGCTAAGATAAAAGGCAGCTCTGGGATCACTTCTCCATGTGCTAAAACTGAAATGAAAGTAGTTGGCTCAGTCAGTTACTTAATCAATCATGCCTGGCTTTATGACCTTAGGGAAGTTGCTTAACTTTTCTAACTTGGTTGTTTATATCTGAGGTTGGAAAAACTACTAACATAGTGGTTATTCTAACAATCAAAATCATAATGTACGTACATACAACACTTGGTATAGGACAGGAATATATAAAGGGCTTAACATATATTAACTAGTGTCAATGTTTTGTTTTTTTCCATTCTTGCTTTGCATATATTGTTAGGAATGACTGTTTGAATGCTTTATTGAATGCTTTATTACACAAATATATTGGGCAAGCTGGTGCAAGCAAGAGAAAAGGCGGTAAGAGTTTGAGCTTATGACTACATATTGCTAGAATATGGGAAAAGAAACCAGGACAGACGCAATGGGGAAAAGAGGCTTATTTTTTGCATGTTTGTTTTGGGGCTGTGGGAGAAACGTTTTATTTTCGCTTGTTTGTTTTTTAAATAGAGGTAAGACAAATAGAGAAAATTCTCATCCACTCTTAAATACCCTCAGCCATTGAAGTGGCCCACAGTCAAAGCCAGAATCCAGGAATGCTAACAGGAATCCTGATGCTTAACCCAGCATGAAGGCTTCCCAGGGTCTGCCCTGGCAGGAAAGTGGAGTCAGGAGATAGAGTCAGGACTCAACACGGCATTGTAAGATGTGACACAGTTGTCTTCACTGCTAGGCCAAGCTCTCGCTCCAGTGTGACAGAAGATAAGTTGAAAACATTTTCACATAGCATTCATCTTTACTGAATGTATCTTTTTACTGCAAAGGTTATTTCACAAACATGTTCTGGATACAAAAATTATATCCCAAATTTCTCCTGCTACTCTGTCACTATCCCTGCTATAGGTGAACCCAAAGTCAGAGCTGCACTTCCATGGCGTTCACAGCAGACGCAGCTAAGAAGCTTTGGCAAGAAGGATGTAGAAAGTCTCATTTCCCCATGAAATTTTTAACTTAGGGAAGTCTGAGAGTGCAAACTCATGAGTGCTCTATCTTAGGAAAGAGTTTTCCAAGTACTAAGACTCACAGTCTTGTGTTATGATCTTCAATTTATCATCATTTTATGAAGAGTTTTCCAAGTACTAAGACTCACAGTCTTGTGTTCTGATCTTCAATTTATCATCATTTTATGAAGAGCATGCTGACTGTACTTCCACAAATGCTACTGACCTCTCAGCCGCTACTGACCTCTCGGCAAGACGAACACATCTACTGCTTTTGCTCCTGACCCATTCCTTCTATATGTTCTCTTCCACGCCTAATTCTTTCTTTCCTTCATGGCTTTCATTTCATCTTTCTTCATTTTATTTCTTTTTATATTTCATATATTTCATTTTATTTCTTGCTTCAACTCGTCCCTTTGAACTCGTTTCCTTTCTCCCATCAGTAAGAGTAATTAATCATGAAAAGAGCAATGTCCGTTGTATTGAGATATTTGCTATCACCTCAGATCTTCCCAATACTCAAGGAGACGCATGTTGTCAGCACATTCACTTACAGATAGAACACTGATACACAGAAACTAGAAGTCATTTAGCTAAAAGTGAAAGTGAGGCTTACGTTTGTTTCATTGACCTCAGACAAGGAACTGAGTGTGTGCTGCCTCCAGCCACTTTGATGCTGTAGTGGAGTAAAATACAGTCTACGCTACTCATGGCTAGCACATCTGGGAATTTCGCAGTAAAGGGTGGTGACTGATTTATTCCCATCAATTTGAGATTATTTGAGACAGTGCGGAGTGTCCAAGCTACTAGCATCCTGCCCTGAGAGTCCCAGGTTTCTTTACCACAGCTACCAGTTCACAGTGAATAGACTTTTCCATTGAAATGTGCTCTCTGAGGCTTCTTGCCTTTCTCCTACTCTTCTTATCAGTCGTCCAGAATACAGAAGTCAGGAAATCACACTCAAGACGTTATAAATATGAGTCACCTCTTCCTCACTGGGTTCTGATGACTTCTCAGCCATCACCTAACACCCTTAGTTAATCCTTCTAGAAACATTTTCCAGGGGTTAGTAACTTTTTTTACTTTTATCACAATGGAAATAGAAATTTCTTTTTATATGTTCTAGATACTGTGCTGGTTTGCATTAAATAATTAACCATACTTTAGAGATGGGGAGCCTAAGGATCAATGAATTCTAACAGTTTTCTCAAGATAGCACAGCCAGCTTCGACTCTACCTGGCCTCAAATCCTGTACTCCTAGTCTGGGTACTTCCCACCTGGTCTCATCCATGCCTCCTTATATATACATAGCTAAACAGACAGAGGCCATCAGGAATGAATGCCTTTCATCTTATCCTCTCTGCCCCAAAACATCCACTAGGTATCAAGGACTTCTGTGTCTCCTTCTAATCCTATTATTGTATCCCATCTTCCAGAAGAGTAAGATGAGGACCTCAGCAGATGTCAGACAGCATGAACACAGGACCACCTGGTTCAAACCTGTTCTCTCTGCTTGACCAACCAGTCTTTCTTCTCTCCCCTTGCCCAACAACAGCATTTCAGAATACCTTTGTTCTCTTACTCATTCTTCCTCTTCTCTCTTCCACCTCAAGTGAAGATGTAACCCTCCTTTGATTGAAAGCCTATAGCCTTCACTGCCCACGCTTTTCTTTCCATCTTTTGTCCCATGATAGAGCCTCTTGCACTGTGCTGGGTACTGGGATTTTGCTGCCAAGGTCCCTGAACTCAAGTTATTTGTAACTTCCATAATACAGACTCATAGATCCATCGCTACCAATCTCTGCAAGAGGGAAACAGCTCCAGAGAGCCCTTGGAGAGGATCACCTAACTGAGTACAGATCTGTCAGGGGACTCTCCCTCTGTTCACTCTCTCTAACCCCTGTCCCTCACCTATTTGTTTCTTGCTCATATTTTTAAAAGCTCAGAATTGGCTGTTCATACTTGGTAAAAATGGTTCACAAGACCATCAATAACCCACACACTCTTTTTCTGTCCCACCATCCTCGGTATGTGGCTTCCTCCTTGTGATCCAACACATCAGTTTGAGATCCAACTGTTACAATATCACAGCCTACGGTAAGTGAGGAAAATGTGAAGATAGAAAAATTCCCTGTTCTTAAAGACGTATAAGCCATATCCAGCACTTCCACTTTCATACAAGTGGACTCTATGTAAGCAAATTCAGTAAGCATAAAGCAGGCAATGCAGTTTTTATTCTGAATCATTAAATGTTAAGATGAAAGTTAGGAATTCCAGTGCTAAACATAAAGCAGAAAACAAATGCTACAAAACAGCTGAGATAGCTTGCCACTATACCCAAACAATACTTGAAACTCATTCTTATCATCCACGTTTCTGTTTACTAAGACAGTACACCATCCTCTCACATTCAGTTGTTTTTAACACTAACATTGTCTGCTCCTTTGGACTTTATTTCTGCCATGAACTTCATTTTTTTTTTTTTTTTTTGCTGACATGAAGTGTGTTGTTGAACAGTCCTGATTTCTTGCTTCATTTTGCATTCTCTCTCTCTAATGCACAAGTGCAGCTCTTTGCTTCCACTCCCATTACCAGC